ACCATATAATTACATCAATATGTAACTAAAATAAACATAGGCAACATCTGCCATATATATAACAAGCCTTATACCAAAACTGTACAAGTGTTTCCATAAGCATATAAGGCTATACAAAAAGTGTCTAGACATATAATCTGTCATCAAAATAACAACAAACACATCATAAGCAAATCTCCAATGTATCACATAAACATATCAATGTCAACCCTCCAGTAATTGAGCCTCATGCTCTACGTGGGCCTCTTGTCCTGGGAGGTCTCTTCTCCTGCACTTGGAGCACTTGAAATATGGTCTTGAAACAGGGATGGGATACACATCTCAGTAAACCATGGGTTTTTGGTGTAATTCTCCATCTAAGAGTTCACTTCTTACATGAAAGATTAGATAACATAGCATAGAAACATCATATAGTTCATAGCATACATAAGACTTCCAAGAGCTTAGGTCTTCAAAGAAAATCCATAGATACCCTTCCAAGAGCTTAGGTCCTCAAGGAAGGTTCTTTCATACCCTTCCAAAAGCTTAGATCCTCAAGGAAGGTCTGTACATGATAGTCCAAGTGCTTAGATCTCCAAGGATAATAAACTTCCAAGGCCTTAGGTCCCCAAGGAAGGTATATACATGTAGGTGTTCATTGGCCAAGAACCATAAATCAATCCATCAATCATCACATATACATATTATTGAAAGATGTAAAACAAAGGTTTTTCTGAAAATTGATACATTTGATTTACACTGATAGGGGTATTTATACAAGAGTAAATGAGAAAAAAATGGATAAGAATGACTTACTAATGAGTCATCAGCCCTATCCTATAGAAGCAAATTTAAAATTAAAATTCCTATTAAAGGAAAAAATCAATCTCTAATTAATAGGAAATAAAAGCGAAAAGATTCTAATCCTTATTTTCTACACTCCCCCTTAAGTTTGGAGGTAAATGTTGATCATTCCCAACTTGCCAATCGGCTCTTTGGTAGAAATATACATCATACACACTTTTATCATCTAATTTTTCTTTGATATAGTGGCGATCAACCTACACATGTTTTGTTTTGTCATGGTGAACTAGATTTTGAGCAATACTGACAGTAATCTTATTATCACAATACACTCTGATAGGTAGGGAAAAAGAGATGTTCAATTCCTCAAGGAGTTTTCTTAACCAAATTCCTTCACAAATACCATGGGCTAGAGCCCGAAATTCTGCTTCTACACTGCTTCGGGAAACAACTATCTGTTTCTTACTTCTCCAGGTCACAAGATCTCCCCGGACATAGGTACAATATCCTGAAGTGGATCTTCGGTCCAATGCTGTAACGCCCGACCGCTTCAAGAATCAATGACTATCCCCACATACTAACACGAGACTTTTCAATGTGCTTTTTCCTCACTCGCACACTTTTCGGGAAAACATCCCAGGAGGTCACCCATCCCAGAATTGCTCCAAGTCAAGCACGCTTAACTATGGAGTTCTTCCGTTCCGGGCTACCGAAAAGCAGATGCATCTTGTTAGCATAGGTAGTACCAATTAATTCTTATAAGTTATCCCAAACTGTACAGCTTTATACCTGCACAGCCTTTGGAATCCCTCTCTTTCGCGTGTCGATTCGATTCATTCATGCATGTAACCCCTCGCTGGAAGCCTGTCAGGAGCCGCTCCTTGTCCGTGCCGCTTTGCACCGGCGATCACTCCCCGCCCTCGTCAGCGCTCGGGATGTTACATGCCCACCAGCTTCAAGAATCAATGATTATCCCCACATACTAACACGAGACTTTTCAATGTGCTTTTTCCTCACTCGCACACTTCCCGGGAAAACTTCCCAGGAGGTCACCCATCCCAGAATTGCTCAAAGTCAAGCACGCTTAACTATGGAGTTCTTCCGTTCCGGGCTACCGAAAACAGATACATCTTGTTAGCATAGGTAGTACCAATTAATTCTTATAATCTATCCCAAACTGTGCAGCCTTGTACCTGCACAGCCTTTGGAATCCCTCTTTTTCGGGTGTCCATTCGATTCATTCATGCATGTAACGCCCCGCTGGAAGCCTGTCAGGAGCTGCTCCTTGTCCGTGCCTCTTTGCACCGGCGATCACTCCCCGCCCTCGTCAGCGCTCAGGATGTTACAAATGCAGAGTCAGCCCAATCTGCATCTGTATATATTTCAATCATCCTCTTGTGTCCTATTTTAAAGAACAATCCTCGACCAGGGGTGTTTTTGAGGTACATGAGGATTTTATAAACTGCACTCATGTGTTTTTCCTTAGGAGAATGCATGAATTGACTAACCATGCTAACTGCAAATGCAATATCAGGCCGAGTGTGAGATAAGTAGATCAACTTCCCCACCAATCTCTAGTACTTCTCTTTGTTAACTTTTTTCCTATTTTTAATTCCCAATTTAATATTGGGTTCAACTAGAGTCTTTGCTGGCCTGCACCTAAGCATTCCTCTTTCTTGTAACAGTTCTAGAATATATTTTTTGAGTTAAAGAAATTCCTGCCTTACTTCAAGCAACCTCCATGCCCAAGAAATATTTGAGAGGTGCAAGATCCTTCAGTTCAAACTAATCAGCTAAACATTTCTTCAAAGAGCTTGTCTCCTTACAATCATTACTTGTGACAATTATGTTATCAACATAAACAATGAGAATAACAATTTTACCACCATTAGAGGTTTTAAAAATAAAGTGTGATAAGTCTGAGCTTGGAGGAATCCTCTTCCCTTAACAGCTTGAGTAAACTTCTCAAACCACTCTCTAGGGGATTGTTTAAGACCATAAAGAAACTTCTTCAACTTGCATACTAAACCCTATTCTTTTTCAAAACCAGGTGGTGGATCCATATAAACTTCTTCATGTAGATCACCATTTAAGAAGGCATTCTTTACATCTAATTGTTGCAAGGGACAATCAAGATTGGCAGCAAGTGATAGAAGAACTCGGATAGTGTTAAGCTTGGCAACAGGGGCAACCAATCTGGCCTTATACTTGTTGATGTTGTTATTTGCATTAAACTTGATTGTTAACACCTTCTTGCAACCTACTGTTTTCTTTCTTCTGTGTAATGCTACGGACTCCCAAGTTCCATTTTTGTTGAGCACATCCATTTCTTCAAAGACTTCATTCCTCCATTTTGGATCATCAAGTGCTTTTTGAATGTTTTTTGGTATTTTTGTACTGTCTAACATAGTGTTGAAAGCACGAAAACCTAGGAACAACTTTTCATACGTGATATGATGAGAAATAGGATGAGCAATACAAGATCTAGTACCTTTTCCGAGAGCAATAGGCACATCTAGGTTGGCTGTATCGCCCTATGAAGCATCGATACGCGTTTTCGATACGTTCTCGATGATACAGGATGTCAATTACCAAAGGATACGTGTCCGATACGCGTATCCGATACGTTGAAAAAAAAATTAAGGAGTATCGGTGCTTCATATCGCCATAGGATTTTTTTTTTTTGATGCAGAACAATGGGGTTTTTAAATGGAATTTCTAAATGGCTTGAGAACAAATTGTATGAGATTCGATGAACAGTGTCTTCGGCGTGAAAAGTGTTTCTGGCGTGAACAGTTCTGGCGTGAACAGTTACTCCGGTGCGAACAATGCGCGTTTGGCTGGGACAGAACTGGAAAAAAAATATGAAGGGCTTTTGATTTTTAAAGCTGACCTAGTGATTTTTTAGGAAGTGGTTAGATTATATTTTATTATATACGGGTATTCCCAGCCTTGAGGATGACCGATCTAGCGGAAGAACGAATCCGCTTTGATACCATATTGAAAGATGTAAAACAATGGTTTTTCTAAAAATTGATACATTTAATTTACACTAATAGGGGTATTTATACAAGAGTAAATGAGAAAAAAATGGATAAGAATGACTCAGCAATGAGTCATCAGCCCTATCTTATCGAAGCAAATTCAAAATTCAAATTCCTATTAAAGGAAAAATTCAATCACTAATTAATAGGAAATAAAAGCGAAAAGATTCTAATCCTGATTTTCTACACATATCTACATGAATACAACTATACTAAGTATCTAACATCCATTCAATCATACAAACATATAACCATAATCCCATTGGACCATGATAGAACAACCAAGAAAGAATAAAATCCCAAGAAAACAAGATTTACCTCTTGTAGACCTTTCTTTTACGCGCTTTCTTGGTATCCAAGCAACAAGTCACCAAATCCCACACTATGTGAACCTATGCCAAAAGTGTGGATGTGATCATAATTATGTGCTATACATAAAATAACAATCCAATAGCTAACAATTCATCAAGAGGTTTGAGTTGAACAATTTACCCTACACTTGACAACTTAAGGCTAGAAGCCCGAATGACTTATTCACACCATGATAAAGTCACCAATACAACCTATTCAAGGTATACGTCAATTAGTTTAACATACACATACCAATATATCCATATGCCAACACTACCAATTTGACAATTTCCACAAGGTTTAGGTTGAGATTTACCAAATTCTTGGAAATTCAAGAATCTATGCTTGGTCACTTGGTGGTTCTAAGGGAAGTTCCTCCATCATCACTTCACTTGGCTCCCACTACCAATTTATACAAGCATAAACATAACCAATAACGTTCATTTCCAATACTACATATACAAGACACCTATACTTGATTTTTGAGTTCAATTTTCGAAAATTGGTGAGTTGAGTTAAAGACACCTATACTTTTTTTGGTTATAGCATACTGTAGAGCTTAACTGCTTATCTCTCTTCACTCCATTTCTGGAGTTGCCGGCAACCTCTAATTGCCATTGAAGGTCTAATTATCTCTATTCCACATTGAATAATAGTAATTCAGATTTAGTAGCTATCATTAACTTAAGCCCCAAGTGAAAGTTTACAAATGATTTTAATTGGGAAGATTTAATATTTTGTTTAACCATTATTATTGAGGCTTGATTTTAGTCTATTGCTGAAAATTCAACTAAACTGATGTTTGAGTTACTTCTGATGCAGCTGTGAGAGACGTCTTCTCCCACTACATGGAAGCATGGAAATCTTGGCACTCAGAAGTTGCTGGGAAAAGGCCAATAAATTTTTTGTAATTTACTTGTTCATCAAAGTCAAATAATAGTGCAGCTTTCTCAAAAGAGACGCATGTTCTCGATGCGCCAGCATGGAACTGTCATATACTGATTTTCTAACTGTGATGTGTTATTTAACCGTCCAAGATCAGGTTAGGCAGTTCTTGCAGATTCTTTATCATATTTATCAAAATTATTAAAAAGCTTCTTTATCAGCTTATGTGAATTTGCTGCTTGTTTTAGTGTTTGAATCTGTGCATTTTCTTCCGCTGAAGAACTCACGCCTTCGGTTTGATTCTTTAAGAACAAGTATTGAAAAGCTAATTCCAGTTTTTCAGAGAAAACTGCGCGTAATTTGTTATTTAATTGATTTAAAATCAACTTTTAGCCACACGGTCACAATACATTTTTTGAATTTTTTTTTTACCCAGTGTGATTTTATAATTTATTATTTGATTCCATGTGATTTTAATCTTGTTAGGTCAATTGTATTTAAATAATTTATTATTTAATTTTCCGTGATTTCAAATTTTCATTTATAAATTTATTGTGGTTATGACACTTAGATCTCTTGTTCGATTCCCGCCGAATGCATTCTTGGGGAGGGGGCTGAACCTTTAGCCATACTGTTCCCCCGCACTCCGGATTAGTCCCATAGCTGGCTCAAAGAGTCGAAGCTCGTGAGGATACCGGAGGGAGCCAACTCGTCTCAAAGAGATAATTAGGGTTGGGTAACTCCAAAAAAAATAATTTATATCCTTATAATTTTATACATATACAATTTTTTCCCCCTCTTTTTTATTTTATATCCTCATCTAATGCATTTAAGACAAATAAATAAAAATACATTTTTAAAAAATTGACTTTTTTTATCATGAAAATAAATTAAAATCAAATATTATTTTGTTTTATCTATTTTTTTGATCTAAATATCCTATTTTGATACTATGTATTTAATTTTTCTTAAATAATATATATTTTTAATTTTTAAATATGTTTTTAAAATAAATAAATAAAATTAAGACAATTTATAAATTAATTTCAAAATAAATAATTTGAAATGTTTTTAACTTAATATTTAATTATTAATTTTATTGTGATTTTATTTGATAATAACATAATTTATAAAATAAAATTTTGAAAAAGTAAATATTTTTATATTTATAAGACACAAGAGATTTAAGTGATATAATTTTGTAATCACAGTGAGTGTAAGTAAAAATTTGAAATTATAAAAACTTAAATGATAAATTATTTAAACACAATAAGTATGCGGGATCAAATGATAAATTATAAAACCTTTATAGGTGTTCTCTACATTTTTCTTCAACTTGCTCAATCAGATTACAGGATTTTGTGCAAGGATTATTATACCAACATTTTTTAATAATTATCTAGACTTGTAAATTATTCCAAAATGCAAATCATTTTATTATGTAATTGTAGAGTCTACTGATAAAATTTTATGTCGGGTCTACTGTATAAGTTATTTTTCTTTGTTTCAAGACACCTTTAGTTCGGATTTTGGATATGTACATATGGGCAGTATTATATTATTCAAAGCTACTAATCGTACTTTATTATAATGTTGATATTTTTCAATATTTAAAATTGAAAAAACTACAGTTTTCTAAAAGTATCTTAAATGTGTTTAAAAAAATCAAATTTAATCTACATTTAAAATACTTAAGTCTTAACAATTGTTAAACCTTTTAAAAAAATTTAAGCGAAAATATGGATTAATTATGATGTGATGGAAATTAATTTTTTAATCTATGGATAGTACATAAAATCTTAAATATCACTCTTTAATGGCCATGATATTACTTGTTACCCTATAAATAATGGCCATGATATTACTTATCACTCTTTTAACAACATTGTCCTTTCGCTGAACTAACGTCTTACACAATCCTACCATAATTTAGGAGTTATAATGTCATGTGTTCCCCTTTTTCATTGTACCCTTAATAATTGAAATACTTTAATAATTGAAATACTTTATTTCTTTTATTAAAATTGCAACACTAATTACCAACAAAAAATTGCAGCACTAATTTGTGTATGCAACTATGAATAGTTTGCTCGAAAACAGTCAATTTTGTGACAAAATGGACGATATCCACTGTTTTTGGCTTCCAAATTAGATATTAAACACAATTCACTGTAAAATACAATCACAAGGAAAAGGGAAAGCCAACAATGGGAGCAGAGGTTCTATAGAAGAATCTCATCTTGAACGCCGACATTTAGGGTCTTGTGCGGAAGGACAATGCTATTAACAACCACTACCTCATCCTCAACGGTTACAGATTCACCTGGTCTCAGCAACGAAACAAGAATTGCATAGCACTTTAACTTTGCTGTTATATACTTAAAATAATAGTAATAAATAAATAAATAAATAAGAGACAAAATGCAGATAAGGTAAAGAAAGGTACCAAGTATAGTGACGCCGAATTTTGCATTATAGTCTCCACTAGCCTGGTTTAATTTAACAATTTAGAAGACAAATTGCAAATGAAATCAAATGTAAAGAAGATAGAAGATAAAAAATGTAAGCACAGCAAGTAGCATTATTGATAAATGCTTCAGCAAGGCACATCAAGCTCAATAACAATTGGTAAAAAGGCTGCTAAGGGGAAAAGCCACTCCCTGCATCCACTTTCCTATGTCATTTAAGGAAGTTTCACAATATTTAAGAAAGACATCAAATAGCCTAAATTATGAAAAGTGATTGGATTAATTTACCATTTATTAAAGGGTTTTATAAGAGTTATGTTGTAGGAAAAGTGATTGTGTAATGTTATAGAGATTCGTTTTGCGTGCCGTAATTTTTTTTTTTTCTTCAAAAAGTGTGGGCCCCACAAAATGTTGTGTATGTAGAAAAATTTGTTGTGTCATGTTAAATGACAAATGCAAATCCCTCTATTAAAACAATCAAAATAGTTATATACACTATCAATCTTGTCTCACTTTAATACTAAGGATAAATTTAGAAAAAATATTAACGACTGAATAGTTTTATAAAACCACAATAAAATGGGACAATTTTTTTTCTGAAGCAACTGATAAAATTGGACTGAGGGAGTATACTTTCCCAGTTTTTCAACATAAAAGATGACTCCCATTGCACGAAGATAAGCAAGCATCAATTATATTCTTAGGGACTTTTGAGAACAATCCTAATTTGAAGAATAGCTTGGTTGGATAGACTCAACCAATCAAAAGCTAAAGAGGTATGTTTCTCTAAGGTGTTTAGCCTCTCCTGATATTGACATGTCAAGCTAGTACTAACCATTCAATCGTTAAAATCATATTAAAATTACACGCTGGTTATGCAAATAGTTTAAATATTTCTTTGCTGAAAATGAAAAGAAAATCATCCAAGGATTTTTTTTCACTAATGTAATTGACACTTGTAAAGGTAATGGTGATGTTGATGTAGTAGACACTTAAGTCTCCAAAGTCTGTATTCTAGGACTATGCATAATACTACATGATCTGATAATGGACCAAGTTATACTCTAAAATGTATATGTTTAGGCTTAAGATGTGTGCAATTCTTGTCATACAGGTGAATATCTATTTTCAGTAAATGAGATGGAAATGCATCATCATAACTGCTTCTGAGAAATCTTGAGAACTATACGTGTGTAACAGACGTTGGTGGAACAATTTAATTGAATATTAAAATTTCTAAACATACCTGGACACGGGCCCATCGTCCAACAGAGGATTTCCATCCAACAATTGCATGAATAACAACAGCATTCTCCTGTAAAATGAAAAACATAAAATTAAAGCTCCAATAAGGCTTATGCTTTTCAAACCAATTAATTTGTACACCTGCCTTGATTTCAACACCATCAAGGATGATACAACTGATGAGCCTTGCACCAGCTCCTATACGAGCATTTGCAGATATTGATACACTAGGACCAATCTGTTCAACCACATTTACAAAAGTCAATTTGAATATCATGTAATATTTTAGTGACATCTTTTTTTTTCTTCCTTTTTTTTTTATTTCTCACTCAAAAAGACAAAAAAGGAAGGGAGTGTGAAGCAGAACCTACATGATGTGGATCAATTAAAAAATCTTACAATATATGTACATGACATGGATCAAGTGGCCAAAGATATACAATTTGTCAATAAATACAACACAAAAACATAACTAATAAGCATATTACATGTATCATGTACTAGAAGTACAAATAATAACTATAAGCTGTTAAGAAATTTTAAAAAATATATATGCATATCATGACCGAAACAGAGAAATCAAGATGATTGTGAAAGCCAAAAATCCTTCAAGTTGGGGAACAAAACAAGTGAATATTCACCTTTGCAGAGGGATGCACTTTTGCTGATGGGTGAATATAAACGTCCCCAATGATGCTGGCTTTCTTAGTACCATCTCCATTTGCCAAAAGATGGGGGTTTGTATAACGAAATTGGGAAAGATACAAGGCAGAACATTTTATGGACATTCTGCAAGAATTAAGTCAACACATATGATAATCGCCCATGAAGGAAATGATGATTATGAAAAATAATTCTCGGGCTTACCCAGGAGTCTTGATTTGTTCCCAAAAGTCCTTTGTTTCATATATGTATAACTGTTTCTTCCCTGCAAGAGGTGTGAGGATATCTTGATCCAATCTAACATAATTGGCAGGAAGACTCCTGCAGATCAACTCTTCAAAATTAGATGTGACAATGAACCATGTAAACTATCCTTATTTCCATGTTGTATATTTAAATGAATTGTTCTTCCAAAAGCTTTCTTGATCACAATGTGGGTTCAACAATGTATCTTAAACTAAAACGAACACCAAGCTGAGAAAATACATAATGGATACTGTAAAGAACCAATTCAACCCAAAAGCTTAAGCTGTTGGGTGAGGTTACATTAATGGTTTTATATATCTCAACACGCCCTCTCACACGAAAGCCCACTGAGCTTGAAGGGTGGACAATGCACAGGCCCACCTACTTGTGCGAAGAAAGAAATT